AGCAGTCAGTACATGTATGTGACAGTGAGTACATGTATGTAACAGTCAGTACATGCATGTAACAGTCAGTACATGTATGTGGCAGTCAGTACATGTAAGTGACAGTCAGTACATGTATGTGACAGTCAGTACATGTATGTGACAGTCAGTACATGTATGTAACAGTCAGTACATATATGTGACAGCCAGTACATGTATGTGACAGTCAGTACATGTATGTAACAGTCAGTACATGTATGTGACAGTCAGTACATGTATGTGACAGTCAGTACATGTATGTGACAGTCAGCACATGTATGTAACAGTCAGTACATGTATGTGACAGTCAGTACATGTATGTGACAGTGAGTACATGTATGTGACAGTCAGTACATGTATGTGACAGTCAGTACATGCATGTGACAGTCAGTACATGTATGTAACAGTCAGTACATGCATGTAACAGTCAGTACATGTATGTAACAGTCAGTACTTGTATGTGACTGTCAGTACATGCATGTAACAGTACATGTATGTGACAGTCAGTACATGTATGTGACAGTCAGTACATGTATGTGACAGTCAGTACATGTATGTGACAGTCAGTACATGTATGTAACAGTCAGTACATGTATGTAACAGTCAGTACATGTATGTGACAGTCAGTACATGTATGTGACTGTCAGTACATGTATGTGACAGTCAGTACATGTATGTGACAGTCAGTACATGTATGTAACAGTCAGTACATGTATGTAACGGTCAGTACATGTATGTGACGGTCAGTACATGTATGTGACAGTCAGTACATGTATGTGACAGTCAGTACTTGTATGTAACAGTCAGTACATGTATGTAACAGTCAGTACATGTATGTAACAGTCAGTACATGTATGTAACAGTCAGTACATGTATGTAACGGTCAGTACATGTATGTAACAGTCAGTACTTGTATGTAACGGTCAGTACTTGTATGTAACAGTCAGTACTTGTATGTACTTGCAAAAAATTTAATAACTGTACTGCTGGTTTCCATCTTATCAAGTTTTGCTCCAAACTGGCAGACTACGTCTCCTTCCTGTGGTGATATTAGACCCCAGCATCAGTCTAGAGGTGTGATCATGAAAGATGATATAAGCTGACGCTGGCCAATCTGATGATTGTCATGGTAACCACCACATTCAAAAGACCCTAGTGTTATAAACATTAGATCCATATGAGACTGGATTTTATTATGGGATACACATATCAATGACAGGTCATATCCAATATGGCTGATAATGAGTTTATGGATGACCTCAGCAAAATATGTGATATCACAGAAATGAAATAAATGTCTGTTATTAATATTTTTTGATGGATAAGAATGGGAAAATTCTTTAATGATTTTAACATCAAAATATTTGGATTAGGAATACTGACACAGCATTGTATAATTTTTTTTCACACTTTTGACTGTGGAGCTGGAAAATATGTGTAATGGCCAAGGGTTACATTGAATCTGTTTGCTTGATGCATGTATGAATGGCCCCTCATTGTGGGCCTTTTATGATAATGTTACATTTCATAATTGTGAATCATATCATATTTACTGAAATTTATAATTGGATTCTGTTGTTTAACTTTTTAAGTGCAATAATTTTTCCTAGCAAAATTTGGTGCATAATGTTTATGCATTTATGCATTTTCTATATATTTAAATTATATATCATTTTATAATTTTATAATTTTAATCCAAATGGACATAATTATTCCTATTGGCTGCAAATCTTGAAAAAATTAAAAAATAAAAAAAATGTATGGGTTTGAAATTTGTGAATGATGAAAAAAAAATTGACTTTGTCACTTAAAATTCTTCACCTAACAAAAACATGTATCTATTGAGATAGAATGATAATTGTGCTAATTTTTGGGCAGACACAGACGAATAAAACACAATGGCTCGTGCATTTCCATGGTAATTGAAACACAAAGTCAAGATTTGTGATGCATTTCCATGGGAAACCAAATGCGAGTCAAGTTTATTTGTCAGTTGGGCTATGACGTGTTATAAGGCGACAATATCTCTCTTCAAATTTGAAATTTTCTGTGAGGCTGCCTATGTTACATGTAGTTAATTTAA